CAAGTATGACACACTAACCAAATGTTTCTGTTTGTGTTTATTGGTGTTTTTTTGGTCTATCTGCTTTGGCATGACCCTAAAACCTTTACTAGACATGGAACTCTTTCTTTAAGGATTTTACTAAATATTTTAGCCCAGTTCTAACAGTTCAGGCACATTCCTCCCGTTAACTAATCACTGCCATGCACAGGAAGGAGAAGACAATGGTAGATACGTGATTGAGACAAGCACACTTTACAGATTGGCCTACAAGTAAGAGCAGTCTTCTCTACAGCCTTATATAGACATGCATGTGTGTGCGTGTGTGTTCGAATGTCAGTCAGTGAACCGCAGTTTCCTACTCTGACTTACTGTAGTTGCTGAAGCTGAACCAGCCATCATTGTACATCCACACCAGGAAAGCTTTTTAATATAGTTCACTTTTGTGCAGACAAAAGAGGAACTCCTGTACGCTGCAGGAAGCCGACGGAAAGCTTCGGTGTTTCTCTGTTTTCACGCGTCCTTTTTTACTCTGTACAAGATCTCATGTACTAATCTCACCTCTTTTTCTGTGATAGAACTTCCCCATGATTAATGTCTCATATCCTCTTTCAGCTCCACTAACAGTGCTTCAGTGGTCAGTAACCCAGCTCCCAAAGATATGCCCACTGCAGAATTTAACTCTAGTTCTGAACTATCTGATTGTTGTCCAGATCAATCAAATAAGTGTTTCGGTGGGTGTTTTGACGAATTAAGGTATTCATGTAATCTGATTAAGCAACTCATTTTAGTAAAAAAAAAAAACACAGGCCAGTCTTTAACAGTGTCACATTATTGGTTCTGCAATTTCCTTTTACCATATTGCAAGGTGTATCGCAATTGCAATATAAAGCAATATAATCGCAACAGAATTGCAATAATAACACTTTGTCCATATTGTAAAGACCTAGAGATAAAATCTGCAAGATGGGAGCTCCTACCCAGAGGTTTAGCTGGCTTTACATGGTATAGCTTTTATGCTTTTGTGCAACGTACTTGCTTGAAACTGCCTTGCACTAAATTTTACTGGGATTGCATAATATAAAGCCGCCTGCAGTGCGTTTGAAACTTGTTTGATACTCATCCGCAACAGTTGCAACCATCGTAACCTAGGCTACTATGTGATGTCATATTACGCCATTTTAACAGATTGATTAATCGACACATCATGATCAAGAAACTAAAACATATGTTGCACACTGAGATGGCGCACACTAAGAAGGAGGTGGCAAGTCATTTTAGCTTTTAATCAGGTTTTTTTGTTATAAGAAATGTCTTCACTTGTCTTCATCAAGGGGGGGATTCAGCCTCCTGGCTTAAGCAGAAGATGCCCAGAACTGCAGCCCAAGTTCTCAGAGTTCTTTACACTCCTACAGTCACACAGTTTATTCCTATACTACAACCATAAAATGAAAAGACTAATAAAATTATATATTACAAGCCACTGATCTTGCTAACTAGTGAAATATTTGAAAGAGTTGCATGAAATTTGAACGTTTTTTAATTTGCTTCATGCTTTGCAATCATGATTCACGCACATGCATGAAAAATGTGGAAAGCAGCCTTACGTTAGCTTGTCCAGTGTAGCAAGTATCATGTACTTTTTTGCATAATTAAATGGTTAAGATGCAAACAAAGTCACTCAGTGTTTTGTTGTGAAATGCTCTGTTCTAGAGAAACTCACATGCTCAGAACTGTTCACAGTGAACCAGACATCTGGAGTGTTTAAAGCCTCTAAAAGCTCCCTCACAGAAAGTTATTACATAACAAAGTATCAAATATGCTGCCTAATGTCTGAAATAAAGGTTTACAATAGTTGTGGCTTAAATTAAAAAATTAAACTTGTAATTTTTTTTTATTTTTTTTATTTCATTTTTTATAACCCGTTCAGGTGGAGACATACATGCGCAGGGTGTTGTAACACAAAATAGTCTCCAGAGAAAACATATTCTTTCTGATTCATCACTGTTTTGCTATTACCAACATTAAATATAAAAACGTGTATTGTAGACATTGTAACTCTGGGTTTCTATCACCACCACTGTAAAGAAAACAGAGTCAGCAAATTTCTCTTCAGTGCACCAGTTCACATGAAAACTTGTGAAAAATGGATGGAATTGGAAGTGTAAGTGTGTTGATTAAAGTTCTCAGGTTAGTCCTTATTAGGTAGTTCTGCTTCAGGGTGCCATGTCAGCGGAAGTCAGTATGTGCAATATTGCAGTTGAGACAATTGCAGAGGAAGAGGGAAAGGTGCTCCCACATCCTCCCTACTCACTGTCTTCTGTGTGTGTGCGTGTGTGTGTGTGGTGTGTGTCAGAAGTGGCCGTGTGCAGTATGTTTTTCTCTGTGTGTCTTTGATGTGAATGTCAGAGAACAGTTTTGTGATTTGTCCTGCTTGTGTGTTGACTCCTCTACTGGTGGTATGCACTGTGCTGTATTTTTGAGGCCTGTGGCTCATTGTTACGTGTGATAATGTCCTTCCTGTTTCAGTTGATTGCAAAATAGCTGTTGGATACCTGCTTTAGTCCGGAATCTTTTCTATAGAAAACAGTTCTGTGCATATTAGAGCTTCCCAGTGCAGGCCTGTTGTTATCCATTATTACATGACTGCAATGTTATTAACTATTATCAAACTTTTAAACAGTAAAAAAAAAAATCGGTAGTTTTGGTCGATGTTGTGCAGTCCAGTCTTCAAAGTGTGAAACGTGCACGCCTTAAAATAATGTTTGTATTTTTGTCCAATATTGTTAGGATTTGATGTATAAACCAAATAAAAAGGTTTTGTTAATTAAAAAAAATAAGATAAATACAGGACAAATAGGCAAAATCAGTTGTCAGTTATTCAGTTGTCATGCTGTGATGTCATATAGTTGCACTGGTCCTACACTGTGTTTGGAATAACTTACTGCATACTGCAGCAGTTTATTCTTTATGCTGCACGCTCCTCTTTATAGTAGCGTACAGTACAGTATTTAGTATTCAACAAAAGCCATATACTGTACTACAGGGAACGGGTGTGACTAGCCTGAAAACATCAGGGGCCAAGCCAATAAAACCATCTCAAGACCCGCCCCATGTTCCTTGGCCCGCCAATCACTATTAAGCAGCCGTTTCTAGCCACTTTTCAGCTCTTTTGCAACACATGGATAAATTTTGGTCAAAGATGTGCTTGCAAGTTCTCCAAAGCCACCAACAAACTTATAAAAATGTCAGCCTTGGATTTGTCTGTATGGTAAACCTGTGTGGTTTACAGAGACCTACATTTGCTAAAAGGTCAAGTAATTTAATTTTTATTACATTTGTAGTTGGTAATATGAGCTAGTTTGACTGAATAATAAGCAGTATGACTTCACAAGAACCTGAAAAGCCAATGCTGTGTGGATTGGCCAACAGTAAGTTACTGTTTTAACAACAATATATATGCAGTAAGTTAACTTTATTAAATAGACAAAGTAAGCAAGCTCACCTCAAGACCAGCACAGTGTACAGATGGGGCCTCAACAGAAGGACAAATTATTACCTTTAATTTCTTTTTTGTATGCATTCCAGGATATTAAATTGTCCAGAGCAAACCAGGCAGTATATTGGGAGAGATTTGGCTACATTTTGGAATATTTGGCCAGAGCAGTATGTCATTCAGTGTCTTTGGGGTACTGGAGAAATTCATGGTGGTCACAAACTGCATACTACATTCTTTTTTGGGGAACAATCAGTGTAGGTTATTTTATACAACATATTTTAATCATTTTGGACATGCTGAGGTTTGTATATCTATACTGTTAGAAATAAAGGTTCTGCACAGGTACATTTTTCGTTCATCAAGGTGTAAACAATGTAAATGATCCCTCAAAGGTACAACAGTGGTTTTGAGGTCCAGTTGTGTAGCTTAAATAAGTTTTTCCAGGTGAAAAGTGAGTATTTGTACCTTTTCATGACCTAATGTTTTAAAACAGAACAATAAAATAAAAAGCCTGGAGACAAGCCGGGTGTGTGGAGTCAGTACAACTAAATATAATTTCAGTGGATTATGGTACAGTTATGTTCCCTGACTAAAGGTACTGAGATGTACCCTTGAGGGCACCACTTTAGAGACAAGAGGGGCACTGCCCCATTGACAGTTTAGTACCTTTATTTCTGAGAGTATAGTTTCCCTTAAATCATCAAGGTAGATACTTTACCATTCCAGAGTTTGAATAGAACAGAGGCTAAGAAATTTGATTTATTAAAAAAAAAAAGTCACCAAAGGTATGCTTAAATGTATTATTCAATATTTAAACTCTATAGCAAGTAGTATTTAATGGTAAATAAAATATTGTAATTATGAGTGGTCAATGTGGCAGAAATTTACCTTGTGATACTTTAAGACACTTTCTCAATACACAATATGTTTCACGATTTTGTTTTGCTGAAATTTGATAAGTGGTAACAAAAAAAGAATCAGTAGTGCCAAATTTGAACAATACTATCAAAACTTTGAAACTTTGATTTATTCAATGTTTCATTCATTGCGCTCCACTAAATCCAATTAAGCAGGGCTAATTATGCTCTCTTTGTCATTAAATATGCAGTTGGTCGGTGTTCTTTAAGTACTGACGATATCTGAAATAGGCTCGAAAAAGCATATGGTGACACAATCTGACAATTTATCACAGCAATAAAAATATCATCATATTGGTCAGCTATAATTTTAATGCCATCGAATTCTTTAAGTGATGCCATGAAAGAACCTCTTTGGGTTCCCTAAATTATATTGATGCCCTAGAGACTGGTTTTCTAAAGAACCTTCCTTTGACAGGTTCTTTAAAGACCCAGAAGAGGTTCTTCTATGGCACTCTACCTACTCTTTTTTGCACCTTTATTTTGTGCCTTATAGCATATTAGACTAGCATGATTAGAATCTTAACGTGCACTAAGCTTGCACATGAGCCGTAAATTGAAATGATGAGTGTGTAATTCCTTGGCTTTGTCTCCTCTGTGTTCAGTGAGGTGAGTATGTGCCAGGCGCGGGCCACCGTCATGATGTATGATGACGCCGGGAAGCGCTGGGTCCCCGCCGGCTCTGGAGCTCAGGCTGTCAGCAGAGTGCACATCTACCAAAACCCCAGCAACAACACCTTCAGAGTGGTGGGCCGCAAACTGCAAGCCGACCAGCAGGTACACCACAATGCTCACAAACAGACTTCAAGACGTACGCTGCCCGTCAAAGATTTAACACCTAGCTTGTCAAAATGTTTCAATACAAGTAAGCATGTTTCCTTTGTTGGTTTGCAATAATGTACTAACGGCAGGTTTATTTTGAGAAAAACAGGACAGGCACAGTAAATCATGGCTGTTGTAGCTCAGTAAATCATTGTAGATCTTTAAAATAGTACCTTTTATAGGAGGAGGAAGAATGTCCATGTTATTCCAAGTAATTTAAAAAAAAAAATGTATTGGTCATGAAATGTTCACAGTATTAAGAGTAGCTGGTGTTTTCCCAAAAAACTCACAGAAATTGGGAAAAGATAGTTGAGACATGAGATATAATAGCAACAGCATATTTTTTGGCATTAACTTCTTCATAGGAAGAGTCAGGTTCACCTCAAAAACGGTTTGTGTGAAGTGGGTGGTAAACATGAATCATTCCATGAGATCGATGCTAAACTGACTTGCTAATTTGAATTTTTTTCATGTCAGGGTAAAAACATTACTCCTCCTTAGTTTCAGTTACAATTGCTGAGAAGTCTAACCCCGTTGTTCTAAAGTTGCGATGTAGGTGGATATGAGTGGTGTATTTTATGCAAAACTGGCCATCGAGCTCCCTGTTATCAGAGTTAGCCTATTTTTTAACAGTAACTTACATGACTATTCAGTGAAGACTGACAATAATTCCTAAAAACTGTGTGTGTGTTTGTTTTGTTTGTGTTGGGATGGATGCAGTGTGTTATGCTTGACAGGCCCTGTTAAGGAAAACAACAAATTATTAATGTTGAATAAGCACATTATTTTTAACACAAGTGTTTGAACTAAGCTCCGCTAAAGGCCTACATGGTGTCAGTTCCTCTTCATCTTTCCATTTAAAGTGACAGTACGTTACCTTTATGGCTAAATAAGTGTGAGGGGGTGAAAAGCAAAACTCAAGGACACAGATAAACTATTATATTTTTTCTTACAGTTAGTGTCTGTATATTAAAGTAATGTTATGTTCTAATATGGGAACAGATATACAGCAGAGCATGGAGGTAATTTGACTTTTTTTTTTTTTAGTAATATTTGAGAGAGAACTCAAAATGCCTAAATTCATTATAAAATCATAAATAAAAACATCCCTTTTCACTTTTTTTTAACATGTCGAAGCAACGCTATGTAAGAATTTCGGGATTTGGAGAACTCTCTATCGGTAACTACGGGAGAACATTTTGTAACATCGTTTGTGCTTCGGACCCCTTCCCCAAGCGGATGAATCTGATAATTATGAGCTCATTGGAAGAGTATTCAAAGAGAACTCAGTCAAAACTTGGTGACAGACGTGACTTCTGAGGATGAGTGAATCCTCTACTATTGTCAGCAAATTTTAGTATAATGTTGATTTGATGTGACATGATGTGGTCCAAAAAACTGTACAAACTGTCCCGACACCTCTGACTTCTAAATGTCTATTCCAGTCATCACAGGGTGACTTGCCGCAGTGCACACACACCGCAGTCCTAACTTATGCTACTTTTTCAAGTTTACCAGTAAAAACGCACATATTGCAAAATGACAAAGAAAACATGCTCATTCACTAAAAGACTGTTTAATGGGTTACAATCTGTCATTAAGCATGTGTGGTGGGGGATGGACTGAGGTGGGCTGTAGTTTACTGTTTATGTGGGTCTCCAAAGCAACTGCTGTTTTAAATGCACATATCAGAAGATAGGCTTTTAACTTTTATATAGAATAAATCATTTAAAGACGTGAATGTTCTACGTGAATTTGTCTTTCGTCCGTCTGGCATTTGCATGACTGTAGTGCTTCTCAGAAAGGTCAGACGGTTTCGCTGCCTTTTTCAGTGGTCAGTCTTGGTATGTAGGCATCTACGAAAAGCTAGCCATTTTAGAGAAGAATGCTAAGTGTGCTGGGCTGTTAGTACCAGCTGCGCTCTACAATGTGTGCTGTGGGGGAACAGCAAAGGTGTATGTGCGTGGGAAATTGAGGAGTTGGATGGTGTCTTAGTGGTTTAGTCTGATCATTGTCAGTCTCACAGCTCGCTGTCTGCAGCTGACTTCCTGTGTGTGTATGTGAGTGCGACATGACTATTGACACGCTCTGCTGCCCACTGCTGACTGCCACCAACAACAGATTCTTCAGAGTGAGCATTTTCCGACCACATTTACAGCTCTACTCGCGGACAATATGAACATCTCAGCCTGCAGATCCTACCACTACCACAAGAATATAAGATCAAACTGGACTCGGTAGCACAATGTGGACAAAATGCTAGCACTGCTCATGTAGTGTGATTGCAATATACCTCCCAATATATTAAAAACACATTGCTTAAGCCATATTATGACATGGCTAAAAATAAGCACCCAGAGAAAAATTTATCTGGAGCTGTGATTGGTCAAGATGCACAGAGTAAGAAGTGCTGCGATTGGTTACAGGCCTCATTTGCTTATTGGGGCCTTCTGTTGTATTAATACTACAAAAGCCAACATTGAGGTCATGATTTACAAATAATATATTGTGCAGATCAAATTTGCAATTAACTTGAGACAGAATGAAAGTTAGACTACGACCCCATCACAGGTGAAAGTATAGCAATCGAAAGCTGCCGCATTTGGAGCTTCCCTAGTTTCAGTTCTCAGCATGTGCCTGCTGTTTTATTCTATGCCAAGATTAAAGAGGCGATGCGTACTGATAAGAGCTTTATATTTAAGTACTTAGTCACTCCCTTAACTATTTACAGAGAAAAATCAGTGGGTTGCTGCTTTAAAGCTTGAACTTCCGGTTTACGCAGTGGTATTTAACTGCTGAGAGGGTGGGGCAGAGAGACCAGTCACACTTCGGCCCATGTCTCAGGCTGTTATCTTCGTTGAGGCCCTCATTTAGATACCGAAACAACTGTTCGCCCATGACTCACAGAAAGGTGCAATTTCTTAACTACATACAGGACTGTCCAAAAGTCACTGATCACCCTTCATTCTTTCAGTTTCTGGTCAAAATGCTGCTGGTGTTCTCAGAACAATGGACTGACCACCCCAGTCCAGACCTCAACATCACTGAATTTGTTTGTGATTACTTGGATTGTGAGATGTAGAAAATGCAAACAATTTCTAAGACTGAACTTTGGAGGTGTGGAAAAATGTCCCTGCAGATTTCTTTGAAAAACTGAAAGCAAGTCTCCTAAAAAGAGTGGAAGGTGTAAGGCAAAGGGGTGGACACACTAAACACTGAAAACATTGATATGTAGTTGTTCAGGCTTCTGTGGATTTTTGTATTAAAAATATGTTTATTGCTTTTTTTTCCTCACCCTGAAGAATGTATGACTCGTACTTAGTGGCCATTTTGTCTTGATATTAATGACAAATAAATGAGTAGGTGGTCTCTTACTTTCCTCAGATGTTCCTCTGTCAGAAACCCTGAGGTCTATTTCTCTTCTGGTCATTCATTATGCATCACATCCATGATAACCATTTTCTAACAGATCCTTCACAGCCTGCCCCAGGATACATTTTTTTTTTTAAGTCTAAAATCTCAAAGATCAAAATGATTCATTTCAAATAATATATCAGTGCATAATTTTTTAATTAAAATATTGCAGGGCAAGGGTCTTCAGGAATCTGCGTAACTTTATTTGACGCATAAATATGACGATTAATTATTGTGATCTAAAAAGATTTCGAGGTTAATGTAAGTGTTAGATGCTACTGGGCAAAGTGACGTGCCATGTAAACAAATGACATTGTCATGTTTTATTCACTAAAAGTAATTTTCATATGGGGGCTTGATAGTATTTATTTTTTGTTGACAATAGGGTCCATAAGACCCATAAGATCCTAGAAACACCACTGTCTCCATGTCTAGAAGTTTCGAGAAAATGTCTTCAAGTATGTCACCCACCCCAAATCGAGACGTTAAGTTTTAGCATGGAGCTCTAAATAGTAGAGCTTGCTGACACAGATGGTACAGACACACAGAAGGGCAGAGACTTACTTTCTGAAGCAGATATTATTAAATTAGGAGGAAACTGGAAATAGGAAGACATGAACTCCACTGAATGCTTTGTCCTTTTCCAGGTTGTCATTAACTGCCCGCTCATGAGAGGTATAAAATACAATCAAGCCACTCCAAACTTCCACCAGTGGCGTGATGCTCGGCAGGTGTGGGGCCTAAATTTCAGCAGTAAGGATGAAGCTACGCAGTTTGCAAACAGCATGATGTATGCACTGGAGGTGCTCAGTGGTGAGGAAAACAACACTACATAAATCATAGTCTTGTTTTTGATTCTCCTGACAGTTTTGTCAGTTTGGGACAGTTATATTTAATCCATGTGGTACTGATTGTTTCTGAGTGGTGGTTTGTATGTTAGAGACTTGATGGGTTATCATTTCTTTCATAGGTGCACCGGCTCCCCCTCGACCTGCGCAGAACGGACCAAGCTTTGAAGAGCAGCAGAGGTATCCCTTCATTCAGTGAAACAACTCCTGTTGTGATCCTCACTACTCTTGTGACATAACCCAGTATGGCTGACAGCCACACCTGTTTTAGAGAAAATAATACTGTATCAAAGGCAGATCTCTTTTCATCAGTGTATTGACTAAGCTTCCTGAATATTCATGTTCTGTTCTACTCTTTAGGAATGTTTAAAGGGCCCATATTCTATATGTTTCTTATATGTGTTTCCCCTGAAGTCCACTTGTAAGGTTTGTGGTGTTATAGACAGCAAAAACATAAAATAAAAAAAACATTCGGTACTGAGGTGGGTGTAGAACCCAGCGTTATAAGGATTAGGATTGCACCAATATGGAATTTCTGGCCCAATAACAGCATCAACAATATTGCTAATTTTAAACTGAGAATTACATTTTCCACAATTTTTACTGCCACTGATTCTCAGTTCGATTGGACTTGGCCATTGTAGAACATTCACCTTTTTGCCTCCCAGTCCCCTTCTTGCTTTAATGCTGATGTTTGAGAATGGCCTTATCTAGGCAGTGCCAGCATCTAGGCAGTTGGTATGATGCCATTTCCATTTCCTCACAATTGATCCAACAGCACTCACTGGGATATCCAAACACTTAGATATTGTTTAGCCGCCTCTTTCTATCTTGTAGATGTTTGTAACTTTACCTCTGAATGTTCTTAGGCTTCATTTTCCCAGTTTTCCTTCAGAACCAAACTCTCATCAGTGGTACGGATATTAATGCAGTCTTTTATCCAGAAAAGGTGAACTTTTTTAATGATTCACAAGTAGAGGCCAGTTGAAGGCTAATTGTGTCATCATTAGAGCGATATTTGTTAACTTGGAGCTTCCACAGCACATGGGTTGAATACTTATGCATACAACTTTTTTCAGTTAGTGAATTTTGTCATAGAATATTTTCTTACATAAAACCAATATCACTATTTAATTTTGAGAGTTTGTCTTTAAAAACAAAATATGACAAGACAGAATATCAAATTGTCATTTCCAGATGAACTTAATGACTTTTAAGGAAGTTGAATATTTTTGCAAGACACTGTATGTAGATGAGCTCCACTCTGATTGGCTGAGTGGCACCTCATTCAAAAAGCAGTCCAGGCTAAAATATGCTATAACACTTATTGTGACTTCAGCATGAATGAGTTACATGGATGGTATATGTGAATGTAATTGTGGTTGTGGCATCACAACCATCAAAACATGGTATTTTTGCAGCTTTACCAATTTTCTAATAGTACATAAATATTATCCATTGCAAAAAGGCAGGAAAAAAAGTTTTCCTTGATATGGGCCCTTTAAGAACTGAACTCAGATGTACACTCTAATATACAAAGCTTTTTTTTCAACAGGCTGCAGGAGCAGCAGGAGAGAGAGAGACAGGAGCGAGAGAGGCAAGAGCAAGAGCGGCTGGAGAGACAGAGACAGGCTGCTGCTCCTCCAGCAGCACCTCCAGCTCCTCCTCCGGCTCCAGCATCAGCTCCTCCTCCTGGAGTTCCTCCTCCACCTGGCCCCCCACCTCCTCCTGGACCTCCCCCAGCTCCCCCACCGCCGCCCTCTGGCGGTGCTCCACCTGCCCCACCCCCACCACCCTCAGGAGGAGGAGGAGGAGGTGGTGGTGGAGCTGGAGGAGGACTGGCTTCAGCTCTTGCTGGGGCTAAACTCCGCAAAGTGTCTAAGGTAAAGGAGAATGGACCACATTCCTGTTTATTGCGTACCCTGAGTAGTGTGTCTACAGAGAATCACTGATGGTATATATTCTGTATACAGCTGTAAGCAAAAGTTTGGAGAACCCTTTCCAAATTACACATTTTATTGATTTTTGAAGTAAAAAGAAGTAAACACAAACTTTGCAGCAAACTATTGAAAAAATGTTTTTGTGCAAATTCTAGTGCAGAGGCACTTTATATTTTATTAATTATACACTTCATATTTTATTAACTTACACTATTTTTGTCTAATTTTTATGTGCAAAAGGTTATAAAGTCTCAAAACATAATGAACTCGTTAGACCTTAACTAACTTGTTAGGACCGGTTGGGCAAGTCAAAGTCATTAGGACCAGTTAGAGTGTAATAAATCGTCTGACTCTTCAAAATTTGTGCTAACACTCAACAAGCATAGGCTAAACTAAGCAGCAGGATGAGGATCTGAAAATTAAGCTAATTGATGCCTACAAAGCAAGAGAAGGCTATAAAATGATTCTTCTACCTCGTAATTTCCACTGTACAAAATGGCAGTAAATGGCAGAATTGTGGAAAACCAAGAAAATGCTCAAATAGAACTGCTGATATTGCTGGAAAGAAAGGCAAAGCAAAACCCCCATATGACAGCTACAGGAGGGTTCAGCTGACACTAAAATGGTAGTGCACCTTTTCTACAAACATAATCTGCATGGAATAGTCATCAGACGGAAACCTTACCTGCACCCACATCAAAAATCTGAATGTCTGCAAAGCAACATCGAGATAAGCCAGATGCGTTTTGGAAGCAAGTGCTGTTGACAGCTAAAGTGAAAATGTAACTCTTCCACCACAATCATCAAAGGTATGTTTGAAGAAAAAAAAGGAGCAGCGTTTGATGAAAAGAGCACCTTGCCAACTGTTAAGCATGGGAGTGGCACAGGAAGCACTGCACGGGTAGATGGAAGAATAGATTCCATTAAATATCAGCAAATGCGGGAAACAGTTAATCAAGTATTAACTTGATTGATCTTGAAGTTAATCAAGTATAAAGTGACTGTGCATTAACATTTACAGAAAACTGGTTTGCTGCAGAGGTTTTGTTTTACTTCTTTCACTTCAAAAATCAACAAAATGTGTTATTTGGCAGCTGTACCCAAACTTTTACATACAACTGTATGTTCCGTTACAGTGGAACTAGTGCGAATGTGTATGTTTTAGTGGGAGAGGTGAGTTGTAATGTTAGTGAGCATATAGATGCCTCTATAATCAAGCCATGTTCTTTACAACCACTTGACTGAAATGAGAGGAAAGGAGCACTTAAAGTGTTACTCTGCAGTCTCTGCAACTTCATCTTTTACTAGTGCCTCTACATTATTACTCAAGTCAATACTTAACATACTACTCAGGCTAGCACGTTTAAAATAACACATTATTTGGAATGGGAGTAATGTAAGTATGTTAAAGTGATGTTTTGGTTAAAAATCTAATTTAAACGATCTTCTCCTCACCTCAGCTGTAGCTAATTAGCCAAGAGATGCTTGGTGCCTGAACCTTTCCCTTTTGTTCTGCCCTTGAGCAATGAGACTAATGTTGCTAGCAAGTAATATCACATTACTTACCACTGTGTGAACCGCATGCTCCAAAATGGACACACATACAGACTAAATTCAGGCTTAAAATGGCTGCTGCAGTTTTTAGCTTTGCAATGTACCTCTGTCTATTTTTATAGAGAACAGTATCTCATATAATGTGAGAAACCACAGCAGAAAGTTTGTTTGAGATTCTGTAAAATGTCTGTAAGCAAGTGTATGATGATGCTAATTGATGGGTTATAAGCTTCCATTACTTAACAGCTTTAACCCTGTACCTCCAGTGCAAAACTACAAAGCTTTGGACACCAAAGATTCTTTAGCTAATCGACTACACTTGGGATGAGGGGGAAATTGTGTAGACTAGATTTTTTTTTTTGTAAAACGATGCTTTAACATTGGAGTGATGTGAATAAATGTTAGAACATGAGTTAATTAACTTTACTCTCTCATGCATGTAGGATGAGAGTGGAGGTCCTGCTCCTGCAGCAAAAGAAAGCAGCCAGAGCTCAGGCGGAGGAGGAGGAGGAGGAGGAGGAGGAGGAGGAGGCGGAGGAGGTGGAGGGGGAGGAGGGCTGATGGGAGAGATGAGTGCCCTTCTCGCAAAAAGGTTATTACATATTAAGTCGTTTTGCTTCTATGCCCTCATGTGTCTGCATTAAGTTCCAACAGATTTACAGCAGATTAAGTCAGTTGTAAAGTGAAAATTTAAAGAAAATGAAAAGTTTCTGGAATTTGTTTTGTGCCTTTCTGTTACAGACGTAAAGCAACAGACAAGCCAGTGGTGAAGAAAGAAGAAAATAATGTAATTTTGTTTTAATATCTCTACACAAACACCCCTCTCAAAGCACAATACACAATCCAGCCAGATGTTTCCTTAATGCATAGTGATATAAGGAAACTAATGGGAGTTTCGTTTTCTGTTTGCAGGACGATTCAGCATCATCAGACACCAAATCAGAAGGTCAGAGTTCAGAGCAGACTGAAAAAACTGTACCAGCCTGCATCATCATCATCATCCTTTACAGACACATTATCAATGTTATATTGTGCTCTTTTTTTATTTTCTTGCCTTGTAATATCTCATTTTGTCTGTTCCAAAACCCAGAACCCATCAAAAAGCCATGGGAGAAATCTGGTACCATTCCACGGTAAAGTCCTCATTTTTCCATCTTCTGGGGACTATTTCCCTGTTCATCACCAAAAAATAGTATGTAGAGAAAATGTAATTAGTAGTTACAGTAAGGGAGTGGATTGATACATGCCATCTTACTTACAAAGTTAAATAGAACTTTGTTTTCATTTTTTCATAGAATCCATTACAGGGCATGACAGGCCTACATTAAATTTGTGTGGAATATCTCACATTAGAACAAGACAGAACAGAGATAATTACAGTTTACCACATGAATTAGAATTAAAGGTCTCTGTTTTTCCTTGCAGAAGTAATTCTGCCCCTAAGGGTGTTGAGAAGAGTCCTACTACGACGCCTGCTTCACTGAACAGGTAATTCTGCTCCTGCAGTTGTAGTGTGTATATGTATGTATATGTATGTGTGCATATGTCTGTATGCGTGTCTGTTTGTTTGCAACATCTAGCTAAATGCTCACTGTTTCTTCATTCACTTGGTGAGCTTCAGTATCAACAACTTCCTCTAATTCTGTCTCTTGGAAACGTGGCACAGGCTTAATTTGTTGTTTTGAATCCGGATCTGTTTGAATTCCGATGACTAATAAGTCTTTATTCAGAGGGCAAAACAAAGGAGTTCTTTGCTCTGTTTATCTCATCACTCATTGGCTTAGATTCTTTGGTTGTGCTTTATATGCAACTGTGGTCCTGGGGCCTGTCTTACAAAGCACAGTGTGAAAAGAAATGAGGTTTTTGCTCAGAGTTAGTTACTATCACTATCGCTAATATCGCTTTTCCACAGAGGAAACAAATCACACTATATAGATATCAAAAAATATAAAGCAGTTATTCCAATAAGCACTAACGTAGGGGCAGTAGCGTTACTTTTACACAGCGTTAATTTTCGTGATTTTTTGTTCCTTCTTTTAAAGGAAGCTGCTCAACTCCTCAAGTTTTATGCGATTGACTCTCCATCATGCTTTAGTGTGCGAGTATCAAAACCCAGGTTAACAAATTGCATCTGTTTCATTTTTTTGAAGCTTGAAAACTGAAAGTGTTTCGTGAGACAGGCCCGCAGGACTAGGTTTCATAGTTTGATTACCTTATCAGCAAAGATTCAAATCAAATGTGCGGTTTTCCCCTTACCCCAAATGTAGCTGACCAGTTAAGAAATGGTGTCCAAAGGTTTGTTCTTTATTTTTAAACTGAAGATACTAGGCTGATTTAGCTAACAAGAAAACTTACAGTCGAGCGTTTGGACAAACTGCATCCCCTTATCATCATATACGTAGGCTACTATTGATTTTTGGTGAATTATCACTTTGTGTCATTTAATTCATGGCTTCTAGCTGGTGGAAATCAGAGATGAGACAAACATTGACTGATGAGTTTCTGGACTGATTTCCTGTCTTTGAACAACATCCTGCTTCAGAATGTGCCATGAGAGCCAGTTTAAAAGAGGCCACTTTCTGTTTCTCCTGCTGAATGAAAAACATGACTGCGAAGCGCCAGAGGGTGTCCGCAATCGAGTCCTCAATGAATTGGGTGAATTGTTTCTAATAATTTGTGTGGGACCTTGCTTTAATTTTGGAAATAAAAAAAAAACAAAACAAAAAAAACTTCAACCATCTTTTCATTTTTCGAAAGCAAACAGGTTTTGGGCAGTAGCATTACTGCTGCTGAGTGCTGATTGGTTGGTGAGCCGATAAGCTTATTGGCTGACTGAAGCTGTTTGTGCTTGTTGACTTAATAAATGTACATGAGACACTGTTATAAAGTCCTATAACTAAAGTTAAAAAGTGCTCAAAAATATTAGAGGTGTTGAACTAGTCTGTGCTGTTCTGTGTTCTGAAATTTTAGTGTATTTTTCTATATAAAAAACGATTAAGCATTTACAAACTATGATTTTGCACAAAAGCTTTATAGGAGCCCTTTCATTTTGGACTTGCTTGGGTGCACCCTCTAGCTTCCAACAAGCCCGGAAGGCATTACTGAGTGGCAGTTAACCTCGCTGCACGTTCTCTGGTGCTATGTGAAGAGAGTTCAAATGACCTCCATTCACTTCCCTTCACTTCACTTCTCTCCCTCAGACAAAGGCCAGGCAGCAGCGCAAGTGACACAGGCACCAAAGAGAGCTTTGATATGGAGAAATTAAAACAGGTCAGAGACTACAGTTGATGGCAATTATAGACAAGATAATATGGCGCCTTATTTTCTTTAGACAGATTAGTGGCTACAGATGCTCATTTTGTGTGATTACAGGAAATCCTGGAGGAGGTCCGCAAAGAACTCCAGAAAGTGAAGGATGAAATTATTGGAGGTCAGTCATTTCATTCAGAGCTAATCTTTCCTCTCTGATTCACAAAAGCACTTAAGCAGGGCTTTAACTTGCGTTGTTGGATCTCTCCCCCACAGCCTTCGTCGAGGAGCTGCAGAAGAGAGGCTCCCCCTAGTGGCACCGCTCATGCTTTGCAAAAGAAAAGGCAGAAGCATCGTCAACCTCGGAAGAGACCTGCACAAACCAGAAATGGAGTCGAGCTTGTTACTGATGTGTCTGCCAAACCAAACAGTGTCGCATATGCACATAACTATGCAGATTTCTGCATAGGGGCATTTTCTTGTTTTCTGCACCTCAGCAGCGCAATGTCTGTGGATTACTCCCTCTCTAATGTTCTTGAATGCTTTCACCCCATTTCCTGTCTCTAGTTTCCTCATATGTTTTATTTTTTCTCTGATTTACAGGCAAGTTAGATGCCTCTATAATCAAGCCATGTTCTTTACAACCACTTGACTGAAATGAGAGGAAAGGAGCACTTAAAGTGTTACTCTGCAGTCTCTGCAACTTCATCTTTTACTAGTGCCTCTACATTATTACTCAAGTCAATACTTAACATACTACTCAGGCTAGCACGTTTAAAATAACACATTATTTATTATGAATCCACCTTTTATTTCACCAGTATTGTGTGTGTTTTTTATTAAAATACTTTTCCTGGTGAAAAGTTTAACTGTAGTGAACTGTAGGTTTAATGTCACCTAATCCAGTTTTTCCTCAGGGATCTGCGGATGCTAGTTTATGCATTGTTTGTACATTTATAGGCTACATTTCAGTTTTACCTTTCCCAGTGCCCAACATGGTTGCTGCTCAGGCTACTGTGTCTGTTTGCACTTTTGTACCCTTATTTTCAGTCAAATGCTTTTTAAATGCAAAAATGTCTGTCGTACCAATTGGTTTAGCAAAAGTGGTTTGTAAATATTGTCATTTGGTAAAATGAGTGTTCAGTGATGCTGTGTGCGAGAGTGTTAGTTTGCCCCAGAGGTTTCAGAAAACACCATTTATTACTTACATGGAGCCCTAAAATACAACCACTATTTGTGCCTATCTTGGGTCTGTTTGTTCTTTCTCACCATCCAGATTAACATAGTATTTCTTTTAGATAAGATGAGAATATTGTCCACAGTTCCTTTTCATATTACATGGTTTATATTGCTTTATAAACAGATGCAATTGAAGTGAAATTTTACACAAAGTAAAATCCACTAAGTAAACTGAATTGGCCAAGCATGTGGATTGGCTACTTGAATCCTGGAACCTGATTGCCTACTTGCTTCCTGAGCTCTGACTGGATGCTTGAATCTTGCGATCTGATTAGCCACTTGTATTCTGCAATATGATTATCTAGTTCAGGTATGCACAGCTCCAGTTTTGGAGAGCCAGTGTCCAGGACAATTTGGTGATTTACCTGCACAAACAAACCGGATTACACTCATTAGGTTTGAGTACCAGATTTAGTGGGTAGGGAAACTACCAAACTGGGCCAGACCTCCAGGACTGGAATTGTGCACCCCTGGTCTACTTCCTGTGCTCTTATTGCCCAGTTGTTCTCTGCAGTCTGATTGACTAGTATTCCTGCACTGTGATTGGCTACTCGAATTCTGGAACCTGATTAGGTGCTTGATTTCTGCACTCTGATTGGCTACTTGCCTCCTACTCTTGTGGAGTCCTGCACTGCAATTGGTCAGCTGTATTCTGCAATCTGACTGTCTACTTGCTTCCTGCATTCTGATTGGCCAGTTGTATTCTTCAAACTGATAGGGTATTTGAATCCAATGCTCTGATTGGCCAGTTGTATTCTGCAATCTGATTGATTCCTGTTAGAATATTATTGTATTATTGACTGTTTATTATGACTTCATTTTATGTCTTTTCTTTGGGGCAGGGATTTTTTTTTGATTAACCAAATAATGGATCAAGAGGTATATTCTGTGAGAATCACAACAAACTACTCTTTTTTTTCTCTAATAGCTGTTCCTGCCACTAGCTCTACAACGCTTGTGAAAGCCTAACTCATTCATGTCTTTAAATACATTTGGGTCAAATAGGAATTGCATTTTTGAGTTTGCCTCTTACATTAAATGCTTAAAATTTTTTAAAACATTAGTAGGCTTGGAGGTCGATTATAAAGACACAATATTGTTTTTTTTCATCCAAAATATGGCAATAAAATGTTGAATTAATTTAATCTCCCATCGCAATTAGTTACATTGATATTTACATTAGTTACAAAGTCTAAGACCATCTTTTTTTCACCTTATATCCCAGTACAGCCATTAAAGATGGGATTAGTATCATTTAGGTATACAGATATTTGGACTATGGGATTTATAACTGGAAGATAAGTTGTCACTAATGAGAGAATTAGTCTAATGTATATAATGTATATAATCTACAAATAAATAACAAAGAAAACCCAAAACCAACAACATGTCACACCACACATTACTCTCTCTCAGTCACTAGACACTAAAACTAATGTAGTGAGGTTAGCTTTAGCTAATAATGCTGATAATGATTACCAGTTTATATGGAAGGTTGTCAAAGGGTCCTTTCACAGGTCTCACTGTTAACTGCAGCTCTGGTCCTCCATCACACAGACATATTTAGGTAGAGAAAGACCACCATCATCCAAACAGGGTGAGAGGAATCCCTGTAAAAACATCCAGAGAACAAACAGCACAGAACCAGACTGTACATGCAAATACAATCTACACCAGTTCATTTGAATCATAAAAAAAGGAAATTAAACTCAAGTCAGTCTTCATCTCACCTTCTGTGTCAAAGCAACGGCAGAACAACGAAGACATTTTCATTTCAGTCCACCAACATGTAGATAAAAGAGAAGCATGCAGAATGATTTTTATTCCCTAATGAACACATATTCCTTATGTTTGTATCAAACATTGGTTAATGAAGTGATTTGATTACTTTCATTGCAGTCTTCACAAGTTTTAAAGTACCGCACAGTCTGTCACACCAAGGTAGAAGATTTCAGCTCAAACATGTGAACAGAAGTGAGAGAGAAAAAACAAGTAACCTAATCATAAAAGCATTTACCACCATTTACTCAAATGGAAAAGAAGGACAAACTCCATTAAGACACTGTTTATCTCACCTGATGTCCCAGTGCAGCCATTAACCAGTGAAGACATTTTAATCCATTCGGTCCACATGTAAAAAAGAGGAAGAAACTGCATTCATTTCCATACAGTGAGAACTGTGTACAGATATTCAGATCATACATAATAATTTTAGACAATTTGTTTACTTAACTTTTTCCACTTTGTAATTCCTCAGACTGTGGACTCAGATATAGAGGGAGGGAAATAGGTGGTAACAGTGTCATTAAGATCTACAACATCTCTGGCTAATCATGCTAATAATGCTAATGATGCTTACCAGTCTGTATGAACGGTCATTTAATGCACTCATCCAACATGCAAACAGAAAAAAACACTGCATTCATTTCTATAAATTGAGAACCAAGCATAATTTTTGTCATAATTAATTTTTATTATTTTAGATATTTTGTTTACTTAACTTTTTCCACTTTGTCATTCCTCAGTGTTCATTCAGTTTAAGAGGGAGGGAAAATGTGGTTTAGTGTTATTTACACATACAACAATATGGAAAAACTACAATCATAACTGAGAGATGAGTTAGTGAAAAGAAACATTAATAACACATTTACAAACACTTATAAATATAATCATTGCTGCTTGTCCACCGTTCACCATTTAGTATCTACTGTCCTGAACTGACGCTCATATAGTTTATTGTACAGTGTTTAGTTTATTGTCTGTGTTTATTGTATTGATGGTTTGTCTGTATTATTGTTTTCTGCTGTTCTGTGTTAAGTGTAGCTTCGTGTTCAGGAGGGACTGTATTTTATTCCTTACTCAACACATCTGAGACGAGGAGGAATGATAATAAAGTTAACGTTGACTTTGTCGTCTCACTTTAACAGAATAATATTCTCTTATAGTCACAACACTAAACAGGAAACAATGAGAGCAGATTTAGCTAACAGTGCTAATAATGCTAATAATGCTAATAGTGCTCATGATGCTTACCGGTCTGTGTGGACAGTCGTTTTACACACACATCCATAATGCAGCTGAAGACAAAGACACTGCATTAATTTCCATATAAAGTGATCTGTGTAGAATTATTCAAACAATATATAATGATTCTAGACTTTAGATGATTTTAGAATTTGTTTACTTAACTTTTTCCACTTTGTAATTCCTCAGAGTGTGGACTCAGGAATAGAGGGAGGGAAAAAGGTTATGTTAGTCTCATAAAAATATACAAGCAAATAGAAAAAATAGAATAAACAGAAAAGAATAAACAGCATGATATTACAATAATTCAGCCATAATACAATTCTATTATGATCTTTACAGAGTTGTGTAATGTGCTGTACTGAGTTATGACACATGTTGATAAAGTATATTTTAATAGTTTGCAGTTTGAAAAAGGAAAATGTCATTTTCTGATTTCGCAGCACCATCATGTGGACTAAGAACTCAATGCATTTTGGTAATTTATTAGTCTAACAATGGATTTAATACAGGATCAAAATATAAATAATAAGATGTCAATACTATGTTCAATATTGCTATTTTTCACGTAAATTATCAGTGATTTTTATCTTCCATCTCTATTAATTACATTTATACTCACATTAGGTACAAACAGTGAGACGAACTTCATTTCATCTTATGTCCCAGTGCACCCACTAACCAATTAAGACACTTTGATCCACTCAACCAACATGCAGACAAAAACAGACACGCACTGCATTAATTCCCATACACTGAGAACTGAACATGATTATTCACATAATATAAAATTATTACAGATCATTTGTTGATTTACCTTTGTCCTCAGAGTGTGGATTCAGGTAATGAAAGAGGGAACAAGATGGTATTAGTGCAAACAATGTATATTATCTATTTATAAATATATAAAGCAGTATAAATGAAAATTTAAATGAAATATCAGTTCATTTAAATCCTAAAAAAGTAAATTAATCCTTATCAGTCTTCATCTCACCTTCTGTGTCACAGCAAAGATAGAACAACAAAGACATTTTCATTCCAGTCCACCAACATGTAGATAAAAGAGAAGCATGCAGAATGGTTTTTATTCCCTAATGAACACATATTCCTTATGTTTGTATAAAACAATGTTTAATAAAGTGATTTGATTACTTTCATTGCAGTCTTCACAAGTTTTAAAGTACCGCACAGTCTGTCACACCAAGGTAGAAGATTTCAGCTCAAACATGTGAAGAGAAGTGAGAGAGAAAAAACAAGTAACCTAATCATAAAAGCATTTACCACCATTTACTCAAATGGAAAAGAAGGACAAACTCCATTAAGACACTGTTTATCTCACCTTATGTCCCAGTGCAGCCATTAACCAGTGAAGACATTTTAATCCATTCTGTCCACATGTAAAAAAGAGGAAGAAACTGCATTCATTTCCATACAGTGAGAACTGTGTACAGATATTCAAATCATACATAATAATTTTAGACCATTTTTTACTGAACTTATTCCACTTTGTAATTCCTCCGAGTGTGGACTCAGATATAGAGGGAGGGGAAAAGGTTATGTTAGTGTCATAAAGATATACAACCAAATAGAGAAAAATAATGAACAGAAAAGAATAAACAGCAGTAGAACACAATGGATTTTGGGATTTTATTAGACTAACAATGGACTCAATACAGGATCAAAATATAAATAATAAAATCTCAATACTCTGTTCAATATTGCTATTTATCACCTTAATGATGCAGTGATATTCATCTCCCACCTCTATTAATTACATTTATACTCACATTAGGTACAAACAGTGAGACGATCTTCATTTCATCTTATGTCCCAGTGCACCCACTAACCAATTAAGACACTTTGATCCACTCTCCCAACATGCAGACACAAAGAGATTGACACTGCATTAATTCCCATACAATGAGAACTGAATATGATTTTTCACATATAGAATTATTGCAGATCATTTGATGACTTACCTTTTTCCTCAGAGTGTGGATTCATGTAAAGAAAGAGAGACAAAGGTGGTATTAGTGCAAATAATGTATAATATTTTTATACGTGTAAATGAAATCACCACCTAACAACATCACTAACAGCATTACAATAGAATTCACTTTATAAACACACAACACTTTATTCTGTACACACAAAATACACACTGTCTGCACTTTTCACATTGTTACCTGCTGAGACGAAAAATGAATATTTTTATTATTACTATTGACAGCATTAGTACTGTTATTATTAGTATTGGTGCACTCTCATAACAATGCACATTCAAATACACATACATATAATCATGCACATTGATCTTCTATCGGCATTATGCTGATAATAGTAGTAATGCTAATAAAGTTGACCAGTCCATGTGGTCGGTCATGAAATGAACTCATCCAGTATACAGACAATATGAACTCTAATTCTTACATCAATGTTTCTAATGTATATTATCTACATATAAATGACAAAGAAAACGCAAAACCAACAACATGTCACACCACACAATATTCTCTCCCAGTCATTAGGCACTAAAACTAATGTAGTGAGATTAGCTTTAGCCAATAATGCTAATAATGATTACCAGTTCATATGGAAGGTTGTCAAAGGGTCCTTTCACAGGTCTCACTGTTAACTGCAGCTCTGCTCCTCCATCACACAGACATATTTAGGTAGAGAAAGACCACCATCATCCAAACAGGGTGAGAGGAATCCCTGTAAAACATCCAGAGAACAAACAGCACAGAACCAGACTGTACATGCATCTACACCAGTTCATTTAAATCATAAAAAAAATGAAATTAAACTCAAGTCAGTCTTCATCTCACCTTCTGTGTCAAAGGCAGAACAACGAAGACATTTTCATTATAGTCCACCAACATGTAGATAAAAGAGAAGCATGCAGAATGATTTTTATTCCCTAATGAACACATATTCCTTATGTTTGTATAAAACAATGTTTAATAAAGTGATTTAATTACTTTTATTGCAGTCTTCACAAGTTTTAAAGCACCACACAGTCTGTCACACCAAGTTAGAAGATTTCAGCTCAAACATGTGAAGAGAAGTGAGAGAGAAAAAACAAGTAACCTAATCATAAAAGCATTTACCACCATTTACTCAAGTGGAAAAGAAGGACAAACTCTATTAAGACACTGTTTATCTCACCTTATGTCCCAGTGCAGCCATTAACCAGTGAAGACATTTTAATCCATTCAGTCAACATGCAGAAAAGAGGAAGACACTGCATTCATTTCCATACAGTGAGAACTGTGTACAAATATTCAAATCATACATAATAATTTTAGACAATTTGTTTACTTAACTTTTTCCACTTTGTAATTCCTCAGACTGTGGACACAGGAATAGAGGAAGACAAAAAGGTGGTAACAGTGTCATTTAGATCTACAACACATTGGAAAAACAGTTTCATAACTAGGAGATAATTTGGTATTAATGGGGATTTCTCAGACAAATGTATATTATTTGTACATGAATAACAAAAAACAAACAGACAACATTTTATGACTTTTACAAGTTAATATTCTCTCATAGTCAAAACACTAAAACAGACACAGTGAGAACAGCTTAGATAGATAGATCACTTTATTAATCCCAGAGGGAAAGTGGTCTATTACAGCAGCACACAGTACAGAAAAGAGCAAAACAAGAGCAAAAGTTTTGCTGTGTGCTATTATACAGGTGCATAAACAGAAGAAGTAAAGATGTATAATAAAATATACTGAAACAACCATGAAACATAGTGTGCAGAACAAAAATAAGTGAGTAAAATTGCATAGATATTATGAGGGTGATGAGCCAAAAAGAGAAAGAAACTACATTCATTTCTTTAACTGAGAAATTAAAGTCATGTAACTCCTAATTCAAAATAACTTTAGACTGTTTGTTTACTGAATCTCCTGCTTTCCACCTAAAAACATTCACACAGCTTCAGATGTTTGAGGATGGGGAGACAGTCTATAGTATGTATATAGTAAGCTAGCACTTGGCTGATGTGAGCTATAAAAAGCTCCTAAATGTATTTATATTTAAATGAAAGAGCTGTTTGGTTAGAGCTCTGTTTATTTTAAAAGTGGATGTAGGCTGTGGCGATTCACCTTTAATAAAAATGACATGGAAGTGCAGTTTGACCAAGAATCTCACAGAACATATTAATCTAACAGTTGTACAAGAGTCCTCCTGTGTTTATCATCATACACAAATA